TGCGCACAGCATCTGTCTTTACTCCTCAGTAATAACAGGATCTCCATTTTTATTTTTAATTATATTTTTATATTACATTATTTTCCTTTTCTTCTAATTGCCATGCCATAATACATTTATATCTTGAAAAGGTAAACTTACAACTGTGAAATGAAGGATTATGCTATTGAAACAACTTGGGGAAAACTAATGAGAAGGGGATAGAGGGAGGGAGGAGAGAGAAGAAGAGAGGGAGGATTCCTCTTCGCTTCAAAATATGTATCATAAAAAATTTAAAAACCCTACTCATTTAAAATAAATTAATTAGAAAAACGAAGGGGAAAGCACCCAGTTTCTACAAACAGAGCTGAGCAGGGCAGGGACATGCCTGGGCCGACAGGGCATGAGGCAGTGGGACCCCGATGGCCAATGCCAGGAGAAGCCTTGTACTTGTCCCACCTCGATGCCAGGCACCGAAGAGGCCAGCTCTGATCCCATTCAAAGTGATGTCTTCATGCTTTTGCTAATTATATTTTTTTTCTGTCAATCATATATGTAGCACATTTTGCACAGGGAAAGATACTAACTTGGTATTTATAAACATCAAATAAATTACAGGTTATAAACATCCAATAAATGACAGGTAAGATCCTCATGAAGGGCCTGTTCATAATTTTCAGGAATCAAATAAAAAGAACTATTACTTTCCTGTTACACAGGGAACAGACTGTGCAATTAATATGTTTTTAAAAAGTATTACACATAGCTACATTTCTCCAGCAATATATATAAAAATTTAAATGTTAGAATGTATTTAAAAGCAGAACTCATTTTTGATCCTAGAAAACATACACAGGCACCTGCCTTGTGGCACAGCACATGCTTCTACATGCAACAGAGGCATTCCACATCACAGTGCCAGTTCAAGTCCCACCCAACTTCAGATGCAGCTTCCTGCAAATATGCCTGGGAGGGTAGCAGGTTACGGCTCAGGCACTTGGGCTCCTGCCATCCATGTGGGAAACTCAGACCAAGTTCCAGGTTATAGACTCCGCTTGGCCTGGCCCTGGTGTTCTAGGCATTTGGAAAGTGAAGTAACGAAGGTCTCCTTCTCTGCTCTTCTGTGTTCCACCTTTCAATATATGAAGATAAACAGATCAACCAGGAGAGTATTTAGGTGGTAGTTAAGATGCTGGTTAAGAAGTCCAGTGTTGCACACCAAATCCCTAGGTTTGACGCTCAGCTTCAGCTCCTGACTCCAGCTTACTGCTAAAATACAGTCAGCAGACCAGTGATGAAGGCTTCAGGACTTGAGCCTTCAAGAGCTAGACTGAAGTCCTTGCACCCGGGTGAGGCCCAGGGGGCTCCTGGGTTATTGAGATTCCGGGAGCTCCCAGGTTACTGAGGTCCTGGGATCTCCTGGGTTAGTGAGGTCCGCACTCCTGGCTGACTGAGGTTCTGGGATCTCCTGGCTGACTGAGGTCCTGGGGGCTCCTGGCTGACTGAGGTCCTGGAGTCACTTGGCTGACTGAGGTCCTGGGGTCACATGGCTGACTGAGGTCCTGGGGTCACTTGGCTGACTGAGGTCCCCGTTCCTGGCCCCATGTAGGCCACTGTGGGCATCTGGAGAGTTGAGTCAGCAGCTGGGGTGTACGTTCCCTCTGTCTCCATCTCCTTTCTTCCTTTCCTCCTTCCTCAAATAAACACTTTAAAATCATGTATTTTAATTACCTGAAATCTAAGATGATGAAAGAGAGGGAAAACTCAAACTTATACCAGGCAGTTTTTTTTTTTGGTTGTTGTTTTGTGTGTCTGTGTGTTTTAATTTCCAAGACACAATGTAAAAATCCCTAGTCAAATTACAATAAAAACACAAAACAATAAACCTTTCTTTCTCGGCAGCTACCTATTATGTTTAACAGGCTTAAAACAAAATATGTCAAAGATCAAGAGTAAGTTATCTGGGATGTCAAGTGCATAAGGTCAAAGGTACAATTTTATTAGGTCAGAGGTGATATAAATAAAATCCAGTATGTCAAAGAAGAAGAGCCACAGACAAGGTGTATATAACAGAGAGACATCACGGATGACAAGCAATAACTTTAAGTAGAACAACTATGTTTACTAGAGAGACCTTCACTGATTAAAAATGAAACTTCCATGTGAGTAATATAAAATTGCCATTCTATATCACATAACTCATGTGCAATACTGCACACTTATTTTCAGGAAGAAAGGGTTATAACCAAGAATAACTACATGAATTAAGAACTCTAAAAAATTTAATTTCTTTAAACTGAAGCAGTGCACAAAATCAGCAAATCAATCAAACTTCAAACCATAACGGCTAAACATCAGACTATTGTGATAGCCATAAAAAGTGGATAACATTGCACATTTTTCTTCCAAAATGCATGAATCCAATATTATCTCATCTTTTCTCATTGAAATAAACAACACAAAATCTATGTTTTTATAACATTTCACAACATTAAAAAATTTTTTGTAGATTTAACTCTTCTATTAAGGGAACATAATAAATATTCTTATAAGTAGAACAATTTCTTTTAAAGTGAAAGCTATTGCCATTTAATTATTAAAATGAAAAGTCTTCTACTGATAGCAAAAAGCAGATTTTTAAGAATATTTTTCAAAAGTGGAACACAGATATAAAGGGGCTTCAAAATGTTCATGGAAGGACGTCCATATGATGCAGTGGGTTAAGCCACCACTGGTGACACCAACCTTCCTCCCTGGAGCACTGCTTCCAGTCCCAGCAGCCCTGCTGCCGACCCAGCAACCTTGCTCATAACATGCTTGGGAAGGCAGCGGCAGACAGACAGTCCAGACAGAGCTCCAGGTTCCTGGCTCCTGAATGGCCATTGAGGCCATTTGGGAGGTCAACCAGTGGGTGGAAGAGCTTTCTCTCTTCTCCTCTCTCTGTCACTCTGCCTTTTAAACAGATAAATAAATAAAACCTTACAAATAGGTTCATGGAAAATTCACATTTTCTAATTCCATTTTCCCATGAACTTTAGGTTCTTTTGCACACAGGACTTCAGTTCTAAACAGGAAACTCAAGTAGAAAACAGGGGGAATTGTGAACAATTCAAGTAAAAAGGAAAATTCGGTACCACTCCCTTAAAAAACCATACAACATGAGTAAAAGGAAAAATATTAGTTGACATAAACTAAATAATTAGCTCCATGTTCCACGTCACTGTGTTTAGAGCACCTGGTATTCACAAGAGAAAAATTCAGATGCCTTTCTTAAGCCATGTTGTTGTATAACCTTTCAATTCAATGCAAGTCAACGCCATGAGCATTTATTTTTAAAAGCCTTCACTATATATCCAGGATGATGCAGAACGTAAACATATGGGACTTCAACATGAGAGACACACTTTCTCCTGCAGGGAGCTAGCTGGCACCAGCCCTTTTTTCCAGCTCCAACAGCTACATGAAATGGACCAAGCCAAGTGCTGCCAGACTCTAGGGGGTAGCTCAGCTGGGACCTGAGAGGCCACAGGTGGGGTGCACACTCACACTGTGGGACCAGGTGTTGGCAGACAGTGCATGGTGACACAGACAGAACCGGGACTCCACATCTGTCAAGTGCCAGAACGGAACCACAAAGAAGCGAGCTCAGCATCCATGTGTTACATCCCCTCTTGTGTGAGTCAGCGGCAGAAACTCGGGAGAGACTGCGGCCCATGAAACGTCTTAGGGAAGCAGGTTGAGGATCATGCCCTGCCCTGAAAGGCATACACCCAGAGCAAAGCCCCCGCCTCGCTGGGTCCTCACCCAAACCTCCAATAGCAGCCCAGCTGGCTCAGGAAACGGCCGATCACTGACGTCCCAGGGATGTGTGCTCCCTTCTAGAACAGGACAATGCACAGCCCTGTGTCCCACTGTGCCCCTACCCCTTGGTCTTGGCCCTGGCAGGCACTGGAAGTCTCAGAAAGCAGTCAGTTACAGCCTGGCAGGGATCAGGCTGGCCAGCGGCAGGAAGGGGTGCAAGGTACTATATACACACTGCAAGATCAACATGTACAGCACTGTTCTTGCAGGAGCCACAAGGTTTTCTTAGGTTCTTAGTTATTATTTTTTAAAAGATATACTTATTTATTTGAAAACCAGAGAGAGAGAGAGAGAGAGAGAGAGATCTTCCATCTACTGGTCATCCTTTGAAAAACGACTGACAGAGGCTACTGTTGTGGCATAGCAGGTAAAGCTGCTCTCTGTGATGCCGATATCCCATTTGGGGCCTGGTCCCTGTTCCAGCTGCTTCACTTCTAATTCAGCTCCCTGCCAGTGTGCCTGGGAAACAGCCATCCATGTGGATGTACCCATGTGGCTCTGGGCACCTGGCTTTGGCCTGGCTCAGCCTGGGTCATTGCAGCTGTTACGGAGTGAACCAGCAGGTCAAAGACCTGTCCTTTCTTTGACTTTCCAATAAGTAAATAAAAACTTAAAAAAAAAAAGGTGCTTGACACACATAAATTTCCCATTTTTGAAGAGCTTTAGAACTTTATTATCAACAGATCCCACAAATTGAACATTTTTGTCTACCTGTGTCAGCCAAGGCTCTATAATAGATGAAAAATATTTATAATCCTATGCCCAGCAATCATTTACAAACATTCTGTGTAAAAAACGTAAAGTAGGTGAGCAAATAATGTACTTCCACAAAAGTTTTCAATGGGTAATTAACTCAACATTATGTCTACATAGAAAAAGCTCTATTGTTAACCCTTTACTAAGACATCAGAGTAATTCTGTTACTGTACTATTAAAATATCAACTACCATAACCTTTTCTTACACAGAAGTTATATAATTAATCCTAATTACATTTTATCCTTTGTTACTACATCGACTAATATAATCCACTTTTATATTGCAGTGTAGTGGCTGTTAGGGCTAAGTGCAGTTTCAAATGGTCATAACAATCCCTATAAGCAAGAAATTCCTTATAAAAAGATTCCTAGGTAGCAATGAATCAACAAAAGCAAAGCTTACCACTTCCTCATCCGAAAGTTCTCGTCCTTGGATGCTGCTGTTTTCTCTCACAGCTTGCTGGTGTTTCTTCCCTTTAATGTGGCTAAAAAGGTAGACTTCTGAAGAAATCTAAAAGTACAAAATTAAAGCAACATAATTGATAACATTATATCTAATCTTAAAACTTATATATTTAATCCAGTAAACACAAACTGAGACCACTTACAGTATTTACTCATTAGGTTTAAAACTACTCGGGCCCGGCGCGGTGGCGCAAGTGGTTAACGTCCTCGCCTTGCACGCCCGGGATCCCATATGGGCGCCGGTTCTATCCCAGCAGCCCCGCTTCCCTTCCAGCTCCCTGCCTGTGGCCCGGGAAAGCAGTCGAGGACAGCCCAAAGCTTTGGGACCCTGCACCTGCGTGGGAGACCCGGAAGAGGCTCCTGGCTTCTGGATCGGCATAGCATCGGCCGTTGCGCTCACTTGGGGAGTGAATCATCGGACGGAAGATCTTCCTCTCTGTCTCTCCTCTCTGTATATCTGCCTTTCCAATAAAAAAATAATTAAAAAAATAAATCTTTAAAAGAAAAAAAAACTACTCTCCTCAGGGGCCAATGCTGTGGTGTAGTGAGTAAAGCCACCACCTATAGTGCCAGCATCCCATAGGGGTGCCAAACGATGAGCTGGTTGATGCACTTCCAATCCAGCTCCCTGCTAACAGCCTGGGAAAAGCAGCAGAAGATGGCCTGAGTGCTTGGGCTCCTGTGGCCACATGGGAGACCCAGATGAAGCTCCTGGTTGCTGGCTTTGCTGGCCCAGTGCTGGCTTTCATGGCCATCTGGCTAGGGAACCAGTACATGGAAGATCTTTCCCTCTCTCCTTTTTGCTGTAACTCTGACTTTCAAATGAATCAATCATTCTTAATCTTTCCTTTAGAATACAGTCCTGAAAATCCTCTAGAAGACCTATGACCCAAAAAGGCTACTATCCACCGCAGTCCGTGAGACAGGTACTCATGTCCTCTACACTGGAGGGCTTGTGCCCGAGCACTGAGGACACTGCTTTCCTTTCTCGATCTGGGGTAAGCTGAGCCACCAGCCAGCAGGCAGGCATTCAGTGCAGTGCCTCTCTGAACACTGACAGTAACTGTTGCACTAACATTTCAGACGAGATTGGGCGCGTTCAGGGTGGTATGGCCGTAGACTGCACTAACATTTCAATCACATCATGGAAGAAACTCCTGGCACTAGCCTGACACCTCAGGATGAGCTTCAGGCACTTCAGAGAGTACATCCCCCACACACACAGACAATGGCCCTACCAGCACACCGCAGAGAGAGCACTGCTTCTTCCTCTCGTAAGGGGTCAGCTTGGGGGCATCATCAGTGCTCGTGTGTCGCCCACTGCTCAGCTCCGCGGCCTTTTCCTTCCGCTGCTCGATCTGCTCCATGTGCCTCCGAATGCTCTCATCATGCTGTGTTGGGAGGCAAATATCAGACTTTGGCCAAGTACTCCAACTGCACTGGGAACATGTGAGAGTGCCAGCCCTACTACACCTTCAAAAACAATGGGAGAATGTCTCTCGATGCTAACTCACAGGTTTTAAACTCGAAGTCTTTAAAATCTCCCGTATGCACAGTGATGTTGCTGATGGTGTGTGCCTAACAGGTTACTAACACGTGCTTTGTGGCAGAGGAAGCATGAGCAAATAAACTAGCAAAACAGTAAGTTCCCAGATCTTTGCGTAGAATTGTGCAGACCCACAAAGCCAGTCACTTGGCCTTAGTCATGCTGAGATGCCATCTCGGTTGCCCCCATTCCATCAGGGGCGTTCCTGAATTCCAGACCCTGCTTCATCCCCAGCTGCTAGTTACTGAGCACCCTGAAGGAAGCAGGAGATGGCCCTCAAGGCTGGGTCCCTGTTCCCCAGTGGGGAGATCAGGATTGAGCTCCCAGCTCCAGGGAGTGAGCCAGCAAATGAGAGCTCTGTCGAATTTTTTTTAAGTGTAAATTAATAAAGAAGTGTTACAGCACCTCTGGCACATCAGCATGCATTATGCCACAATGAATGAATCAAGCAGATCGTATCATTTATTTGCCCACAGTCCACTTCGGGAAGCATTTCCAACAATACACTGTGAGGAAATGTCAGTACTTGGATGAAGTCCCACACTACCCAGAGGGAGAAAAGGCCTACGAGGGTTTCATTTAACCATGTCTAGCTGTGTCTCATCCCCAGGGACTATATCTGGTGGGGTGGGAGAGCCATCTCTTAGGCTAGAAAGCTGAGTGGCCTCCCCACCAACCTCATCACACCCACCTGACTCATCAAGATTCAGCTCAGAAATGATGCTCTAATCTCACTTCCTGAATCTCTGAGCCCCTGACAGGACATCGTGTCCTTCCCCAAGCTTCCAGAGTATTCCATGGCACTCTTGACTGTTGGAATGCTCTGCTAGGTACCTGCCTCCCACATTAGATGATGACCTTCTGGAAAACTAGCATCATGTCTCGCTCATCCTCGCATCCCGATGTCTGTTCCATAACCAACTGCTGCATTAAGATGAAGACACGCCTAGGATCACATAGTCAGGGTCCTGACCCTGCGAGAAGCCAATACCCAAATAGCTGGGATGCAATTCTATTCACACTGCAAGAAGCTGCCCACGGTGGTAACAATAGCAACAACTTTCTAGCAAATAGTACTTTATCATAATCCCTCAAACTACCACTGTGTATAAGCACTGGAACTGAGGAAAACAAACACAAGAAATAAATTTTAGTTCACCTCTAGAATCCATGAATAGCAAGAGTCTAACAGCAGCCATCAATAATTAATAACTGCTTAGTAAAACTGGCATTTCCTTTTTTTTCCCTCAGTGACACAGCCTTATAACTAAGTTAGAAATGGTTGTAGCCAAATGTTATAAACTTTGTAGCCCCAAAATTAAGAATGCAAATTCATTCCAACTTGTGTTCTGCAGGTGAAATGTCTCACGTTTCTTTGAAAGCTCCAAAAATTCAAATTAAAAATATGTAACATGCTGACCTTGAGCTGAATTTTTTTCTGCAGCTCCTCCATGGCCTCCTGTTGAGCGGCTGTGAGTGCTGCCAGGCGCTCCTCCCGGTCTCTGTAAGAGGAGAGGAGAAGGTATGGACTCACCCACTGGAAGCAACAAACATCCGGAGGCTAGAAGACACATTATTTAAGGAGCTACTATTTTTGAAAGATCATAGTTTTTCTTTTTCTCTTCAATGCTTACCAAGCGCCATGTATACTGCTCACTAGAATGGCTGGAAAGCAACAAAGATCATTAACTATGAAAATTAATTTCCAAAACCAGGCATGGATTTAAAATTCAAGTTCTGGGACATGGTATATAAAAAAAACACACACTTATCTATACTCCCTTCCAAAAATCCACCAAACCATAAGAAAGGAATACAAAAGACAAACTCACAGGGATAGGACAAAGGGAATAGAAAAAATGATTATAAACTATGGAAGCATTTCAGAAACTGAACAACAAACCTGAGAAAGTTGAACATGAGATTTCAGGAGGAAATAAACAGGGTTATTTTGCACCCCCCCCCAAAAAAATAGGAGCTTACAGATGGGGCCGGCATGGTGGCACAGCAAGCTAATCCTTTGCCCTGTGGTGCCAGCATTCCAAATGAGCTCTGGTTCATGTCCTGGTTGCTCCACTTTTTTTTTTTTAAGATTTATTTTTATTATTTTTTTATTGGAAAGGCGGATATACAGAGAGGAGAGACAGAGAGGAAGATCTTCCGTCCGATGATTCACTCCCCAAGTGAGCGCAACGGGCCGATAGGGCCAATACTATGCCGATCCGAAGCCAGGAGCCTCTTCCGGGTCTCCCACGCAGGTGCAGGTTCCCAAAGCTTTGGGCCGTCCTCGACTGCTTTCCCGGGCCACAGGCAGGGAGCTGGAAGGGAAGCGGGGCTGCCGGGATTAGAACCGGCATCCATATGGGATCCCGGGCGTGCAAGGTGAGGACCTTTAACCACTTGCGCCACCGCGCCGGGCCCTCCACTTTTGATCTGGCTCACTACCTATGGCATGGGAAAGCAGTGGAGGATGGCCCAGGTCCTTGGAACCCTGTACCCAGCTTCGGAAATGCTCAGCCCTGACTACTGCAGACATTTGAGGGCTGAACCTGTGGGTGGAAGATCTTCTCTATCTCTCCTTTCTCTGTAAAATCTGACTTTCAAATAAAAATAAATAACTCTTAAAAAATGCTTGGGAATGAAAATAAGTAGATTAGTGAAGTCTTAAAAGAAATAGGAATCAGGAGGTCCATATTAACAGCACAGCAAACCAGAGCACTGGTTCAAGTCCCAGATAGTAGGGACTTGACAATGTAAATAAATCTTTAAAAATAAATAAATAAAAGAAACAGGATCTTCAAATGTTTTCCCCAGTCTAACAGGCTGCTGGGAGCTCACTCCCTGGAGGAATGGAGCAAGGAGCCAGGTAGAGCAGGGAAGGCAAGCTGAGGACAGAGTCTGCACATAAGCCACAGACAGCAACAGGGAGCCACAGTCTCCTCCCCTTGCTAGGGCCAAGCACCTCCCCAGCTGGGCCAAGCACCCACTCCTACAGATGGTTTTTACAGACCTAAATCAGCAGCACAGCAGTTAGCAGTACATCTATAAATCACATCATTCAACATAAAAAATATCAATCTTTCTTGATAGAATTTATAGATTCAGTGCAATTCCAACCACAATTTTAGCTTCTTTTTCAAGAACTGAGCAAGCTGATTTTATAACTTGTATGTAACAAGGCAACTAGACAATCCTAAAAAAAAAAATAATAATAAGGTGAGAGACAGAATCAGATGACAAACATTATTAGGAAGCTTTGAAATTAAGTCAGAGGATACAGAAAAGGGGGACGATGGATCAAAACTCAGAGCCCACAAACTCATACATATATGAAAATTTGGTTTATGTAAAAAAGTTTTGCATACTAATGAGGGAAAAACACAAGGTGCTTGGCCTAGCTGTTAAGATACCTGACTCCCAAACTGTAGTGTCTGGCTTTGCTTCCTGGCTCCAGCGTGTGACCACAAAAAAACTGGATTCCTGCTCCCAAATACATAATAAAGTTCGTTACTCTAGTGAAAAAAAGCCTTTAACACTTGATAAAAGAATAAACTTGGGGAAATTAGGAGTTAGAAAGGGATTTCACAGAGAAGACCAAAAGGCACAAATCTCCAAGTTCATCCAGCTGTACTACACTGCCACCAAGAAGCAGGTTCATCAGGAGATGTCACAAGGAGACTGAAAAGGTGAGGCAAGGCCTCTAAATTTTCAATTCATCAACTGACAAAGCTTGGTGTTCAGCAAAGATAATCCCTAAATATCATTAAGAAACAAGAGAGCCTAATAGAGAGAGACAAAACTGTGAACAGGTGCTCCACACAAAGAAAACTCACTTAGCTCATAGTCATGTAAATGCCGCCAAGGCAAGGTTTTTATTACAATCATAGAAAATGGACACACACTGCTGTTTCTTTTCACATCTTTTCACAAGTTTGATCCACTAAAGGGTCAAGAAATATCAAGTCACTAAGATGAACTTAAGGCACCGACATGTTAGTTTTTCTTGCGTTTTTTCAAACTTAAACTTGAAATGAGGCCATGGTTGAAGATCACTTATTGTGACTGGACTGATAACACAGTGCCTAATGTCCATAAAAGCTCTGGCCATAAGAGCCATGTCCAGGTATGGCCCTGGCATCTTCTCCCAAGTTCTCTTGTGCTTGAGCCAGTTACAATTAAAAGGCATTTTTTTTTTTTAAACCAAAGCATCTGAAAACATTAAGTTTCTCAGGCAACAGAAAATCCCAAACAGGCTTTCCTCTTAAGGATGCTGTCCAATTCCTGCAAATCAAAATGTAGTATATTTCTGCAATTCTGACTATTTTTTTTTAAATCCACACACAGCAAGCAGTCATCTTTAAAGTCCTGATTTGGACCTTCACTCTGTGGCAGTCAGGATGGCATGATGGTTACCTGGCTCTCTCCCGGGCGGCATCCTCACGGGCTTTTTCCTTTTCTTGCCTCTGCTGCTCGATCCGGGCCTCCTGCTCCCTCCTTTTCATAAGCAGCTCCTCTACGCGGGCCTGTCGTTCCGCCTCAAGAGCTCTCTTGCGCTCCTGATATCAAAAACATTTTAGAAGACACTGGAATTATGGATGCAATGTCAATGATTAAAGATCAACACACCTTGGACATAAACATGATATTCAAGCCACACTGATCAGATCCCTGGCTTCCTGCTGGCTGTACCACTTCCCAGAGTTCAAACAAAAGCTGAATGACTTCTACCTTTCATGGTGCTTATCAGTGCCACACAAAATAATGAGAACAATGTTCTGGAAGATAAGAAACAACAGTCTACATGTTTTAAATGTGTGATTTCAAATTGTAAAATGCTCAGATGTTGAATTTTTTTATTGTTGTTTACATTGTATTATGTGGTACAGTTTTGCACCAAAATAAGCTCATGTGATAATTCTATTTTCCATGAATTATTGGAAGCATGCTTGTAACATCTCAAAGCTCGTTTATTACTAGCAGCAGCCGCATTAAGGCAGACAACATTTCATCGCAACAGAGTGAATTTCAACCTGAACTGTGCACACTTTCACCCAGGAGTGGCATTCTACTACTAGCTGTGCTGACACATCTCTTTCAATCCAAGCTCAGTGAGCTTCCCCCATCCTCTCCCTGGCACCCTGTGTCCCATGCATATGGAATATGCTGATCTATGCTTTGGTACCTATCACTTTAAGAATCTTAGTATAATGTGAGAACTAAGCTACAAATATAGGCAAGTACTTGGTCTAATATTCAGCCATATTTAGCACTCACTAGAGGATAGTAAATAAATAAATAAATAAAGTTTTTGCTCATCAAATAGTGAAAAGGAATTCTGTCATTTCTAAGAGTTCATTGGCCTCCCAACAAGCTCTAGCTACATCAAGGCAAAAAACAAATTTCTGAAGAAATAAGCAAAAAAAGATATTTCTTCCACTGTCCCCTTCCTCCTCTTTCTTAAGGTGGTGGAAGGGTGAAGGGAGCTGAGAACTGGGGCAATGCCCTGACCTCAGGAGGACACACTATTGGACACTGGCATATGTGGAAGTCACCTGAAGCCTGTTACTCACAGTTGTTCCTCATGGCTAAGAAATATCTGTGGAAACTCGTTTTATTACATGTAATCTCAAAAACTGTAAACTTAAGGGCCCGGCACGGTGGTGCAGTGGTTAAGGTCCTCCCTCGCCTTGCACGACCCGGGATCCCATATGGGCGCCGGTTCTAATCCCGGCAGCCCCGCTTCCCTTCCAGCTCCCTGCCTGTGGCCCGGGAGAGCAGTCAAGGACAGCCCAAAGCCTTGGGACCCGGCACCCGCGTGGGAGACCCGGAAGAGGCTCCTGGCTTCGGATCAGCATAGCATCAGCCGTTGCGCTCACTTGGGGAGTGAATCATTGGATGGAAGATCTTCCTCTCTGTCTCTCCTCTCTGTATATCTGCCTTTCCAATAAAATAATAATAACAACAATAATAATAAAAACTGTAAACTTAAAAAAATTTTATCTATTAGAGAAAATTTTCCGCATTAAAGAAAACATTTTTCTTATAGTCAAATTTATTGAAAGTTATAAAACCTGAATTGGCCCAGTGTGGTAGCCTAGTGGCTAAAAAGTCCTCACCTTGCATACACTGGGATCCCCATATGGGTGCTGGTTTGTGTCCCAGCTGCTCCACTTCCCATCCAGCTCCCTGCTTGTGGCCTGGGAAAGCAGCTGAGGATGGCCCAAAGCCTTGGGGGCCCTGCACCCACATGGGAGATGCAGAAGCAGCTCCTGGCTTTAGATTGGCTCAGCTTTGACCATTGCGACCACTTGGGAAGTGAACCAGCACATGGAAGACTCTCGCTCCCTGCACTCCATCCCTCTCCTGCTCCCTCTCTTTCTGCTACCCTGTCAAGTAAATAAACAAATCCTTTCAAAAAGAGTTAAATGGATTCTTAAAATTATCCGAAAGGTGGAGTTACAGAGAGACAGAGATCCTCCATTTGCTGGTTAACTCCCCTAGATGACCGTCCTGGTGAGGCTGTGCCAGGCTGAGGGTGGAGCCTTCACGGTGCACAGTGGTTTCCCTCATGCACCGTTCCAGTGCTTGGCCTCCTTTCTGCCGCTTTCTTAGGCCCATGAACAGGGAGCTGGAGGGGAAGTGGGACATCCTAGACTAGAACCAGAGCCTATATGGGATCCCAGCACCTCAACCAAAAGCTTAACCTGTATGTCACAGATCCAGACCCAACCTTTTGTGTTTTAATAACTGGGAAAGAAAAGTGGCAATTACAGATAAAAGTAAAATGTTCAGCTATCATTTCCCAATCAATAATTTAATTTTCCCTAAAAATAGGTAACTTTGTACCTTACAAAGCACCTTGCATAGTGTGGGGGTTCCTAAACATTTATTTAAAAGTGAAGCCTAAGATTGGATTCTGCAAGCTTTTATGGACTCCTGCAATTCAAATTATTTAGGGGGGAAAAAAAGCAGAATATTTAAGGAAACAGGCATTGTGACATTGCAGGTGAAGTCACTGATCACAACACTAACATCCCATAGGGATGCCAACTGGAGTCCCAGCTACTCTATTTCTGCAATATGCCTGGAACAGCAGCAGAAGATGGTACCATGCTTGGTGTCTGCTAGCCACACGGGAAACCAGGATGGAGCCCCAGACTCCTGGCTTCCACGTGATCCATCCCAGGCCACTGTAGCCTTTTGAGGAATGAACCATCAGGTGGTAGATCTCTCTTTCAAACTTGTTCAAATGAACATCTTTTTCTTTAAAGATTTACTTTTATTTTTATACAGAGAGAAGGAGAGACAGTGAGGAAGATCCTCCATCTGATGATTCACTCCTTAAGTGACCACAATGGCTGGAGCTGAGCCATTCGAAGCCAGGTGCCTCCTCTGGGTCTCCCACCCGGGTGCAGGGCCCTAAGGCCTGGGGACATCCTCGACTGCCTTTCCAGGCCACACGCAGGGAGGTGGACGGGAAGCAGGGCTGCTGGGATTAGAACTGGCACCCATATGGGATCCTGGAGCGTGCAAGGTGAGGACTTTAGCCACTAGGCTACTGTGCTGGACCCCAAACAAACATCTTTTTAAAAAATCTACCCAATCAAAAATACACATGACAATTATAGCAAATAATATATGATGATAGCACTTCTTAACTCACAAAAAACAGGGGCAGCAACTGCCCTGAGCATTCAGCTCATTTATGAGGATGCTTCAAGAACAGAAATGGCATACAGGGGTGAGGGATTAGTTCCAGAATCGTTTAGGACAACAGGATCCCTGGATGCTCGGCCCTTCCACAAAACGGGGCCATATTCTTACAGCTCCTTTGAATTACTTACAATACATAAAACAACATAAATGTTATGTACATAGTCATTATTCTGGTTTGTTAAGGAAAAATAACAAGAGAAAAAAAACAGCCTCAACCTGAGCGGTACAGACGTGACCACTACAGGCCTAACTATACACAGAAAACACTGATAGTCACCGTGGATGTTTCTGAGTGATTCCCATCTTCTGTGACCGGTTGAAGCAGGGATGTGTACCCCTCAGACTTGGGGGGTGAACTGCAGATACAGCATTCTTAAATTCTACAGCACTAGTTAGGGCCTTACTACTACAAAATTTGCAGAACGCCTGCCATTAGAGCTTCACATAGCTAGTTATACATATTTGAAAAATTTTTAGATATGTGACATATCATCGAACTTTTCTAACAGTGTCAGCACATTTCAACTAATTTTAGGAAGAAACATCTTAAATTCATCATTCAAAATTAAACCCACAATAAATTTCTACATTAAAAATTTTTTTGACAAACCAAGGCAATTTTGGGGGGAATTAATGGGTACAAGAAATCCCTTACTACTTTTTGTAAATGCTGTCACATGAGCTTTAGTGTTCTAAACTATGAAGCGAGAGTAACCATATTCTCCACTGAAGGGAACGGTTATAGCCCCAGTCTGCGCAGCTCAGATAACGCGATGAGGATGTCTGCTGACACCCAATGCTGCTCAGGTATTCACTCCCAACAGCCAGCTACAGAGTGCCTTCCTCCAGGGGCACCTCCCACCAGCAGAGCCACTCGCTTTGGTGTCCTGGTGCTTCTGCTGTGCGTCTTAGCCAGCCTCTTTCACACTGAGCTGAACTTACTGTTTACCATCATGGCAAGGTTCATCTTCTTTATACCTGAATTACTAATGCGTAGTGGCTGCTGCAGACTGGCACAGCGCAGAACACATCAGTACTTTTTATAAAATGATCCTGCTGTAGAGAAGCAGCAATAATGCTCAAGAGGAAACTCAAGTTCAAAAATACCAGAGTTATTCTCTGCAGACATATATTAACGGAACTAATGTATAAATGATAAAAGTGAACAGAAGGACAATCTATTTGTGTAACAGGATCATTTTGTTTGTTTCGTTTTTTAAAAAATATGAGTTAGCTTAGTACTCATTAAAATAGGCCGTTGGGGACTGGGATCCCGGGCGTGCAAGGCGAAGACCTTACCACTTGCACCACAGCACCGGGCCCATAAATACATGTTTTTAAGGCCTTATTTATTTTTTATTGGAAAGGTAGATTTACAGAGAAAAAGATCTTCAGTCTGCTGGTTCACTCCCCCCAAGTGGCTGCCACAGCTGGAGTCACGTGCTCCTGGGAAAATCCAACTGTGATTTTCTCCCTTAGGGATCTGGAGCACCTCAGCCACAGTCTAGGACATGATGGGTACACCACCCCACCCAACCCCCCAGAAGGTCTGCCAAGAAGCTCCACCTGCACAGCTTCGTCTCGGGCTTGCTTCTCTTCCTGTCTTCTCTGACGCTCTTCCTGTAGCTCGTTAAGTCTCTGTTCATACTCCTTCAGCTTCGATAAGACATCATGCCGCTTGTTCTGGGCTTCGAGGGTGTTTATAAAAGCAATTTCATTAACCTTCAAAAAGACAAAATGAGATTCGTACAAATCAAATTGATTCCAGAACACATCACAAAAATGAGAAATTTCACAAGAGTCTATATAATAGTATTAGTTCATGGCAAGAAGAAGTGAACAATGGGTTTATTACCTTTCAACACTTACTTCAAAACAGGCAATCATCTTTTGTATTTATCAAATTGGTATATCTTAATAAGAACTATTAGAAATCTGCCACTCAAAGTATCTTCAAGAAGCAATATAAGGGCCCAGCGGCATGGCCTAGTAGCTAAAGTCCTCACCTTCAACGCACCAGGATCCCATATGGGCACCGGTTCTAATTCTGGCAGCTCAACTTCCCATCCAGCTCCCTGCACCCTGCACCCGCGTGGGAGACCAGAAAGAAGTTCCTGGATCCTGGCTTTGGATCAGCATAGCATCGGCCATTGCGCTCATTTGGGGAGTGAATTATCAAACGGAAGATCTTCCTCTCTGTCTCTCCCTCCTCTCTGTATATCTGACTTTCCAATAAATAAATAAATCTTTAAAAAAAAAAAAGAAGCAATTTAAGATTCTTACAGAAGCCAATTTACAGTTCTACTTGCTGTTGCTGTAGTTTGCAGACTAACATTTAGACATGCTCACAGTGCACACTAGACGCCCACATCCCACACAAGAGTCCCTGCAGTCAAGCCCCACTCGTAACCCGAGCTCCCCTCCAATGCGTACCTGGAGGCAGCAGGGGCAGCTCAGCTAACTGGGGCCTGCCACCCACATGCCAGACCTGGAGGCTCCAGCCTTGACTTAGCCTCAGCCACTGCAGGCTTTAGGGTACAGAACCAGCAGAAAGAAGCCGTGCACATGCACGTGAGCGCATGCGTGTGATTAAAAACTTAAAAAATTCATAGGTATGTTCATGTTACTATAATGAATTTGAGAGAACAAAATTAAAAATCATTTGTCTTCAATATCTACTGAATGAATCACAATCAACCACAAAGAAATGAACTACACACACATTTTCAACTTGACAGGTATTGATTATCAACAGCCAAGTTTTGCTGGAGAGTACAGATTTTACGAGTAGAATCAGGCTAATGATAAAAGCTCAAAAATCTTTATGAGGATCAAATTTTGTATTCTTTTTAATGGGGCGGCACAGTGATATAGCCAGCTAATCCTCTGCCTGCAGTGCTAGCATTCCATATGGCTGTTGGTGCCAGTCCTGGTTCCTCCTCCTCCCATCCAGCTCCCTGCTTATGGTCCTGGAAGGTAGTGGAGGATGGCCTGAGTTCTTGGGCCTCTGCACCCACAATGGGAGACCTAGAAAAAGCTCCTGGCTCCTGGCTTCAGATCAGTCCAGCTTTGGCTATTGAGGCCATTTACGGAGGGAACCAGCAGATGGAGAATCTCTATCACTCCCTCCTTCTCTCTTCAAACCTACCTCTCAGATTAAAAAAAAAAAAAAAAAAAAGGAAGAAAAATACTAAAAGCTAAAAAAAATTAAAATTCTTACAGGTTTTCTTAAAATCTTCCTTGAATTTTTCACTTATTTGAGCGATTTGGGGAACAAGGAAGGAAAGAGAGGCAGAAGGAGAGGAAGAGGAAAGAGGGCAGGGAGGGAGCGGGAGACACTCCCTGGTTCAATTCCTACATGCTTGCAATGGCCACGGCTGAGCCAGGCCAAAGCCAGCAGCCTCATTTCCACCAGGATCTCCCCATGGGCAGCCGGAGCCCAGACACTTGAGCGGTGTTCTGCTGCCTCCCAGGATGCATTAACAGGAAACTGGATGGTAAATGGAGTCGCCAGGACATCGTCTAGAGGGGGAGACAGCAGCTCCGTGCAGCATCTTAGCCCTTGCCTGCCCCGAGTCTTTCGTTCTTGAAGCCAGAGCGAAGAGGGCACACTACAGTGAAAACAGCAGCGTGGAACACTAAAGTCACCATAGCTAGCATGAGCTCCACAGACCCAAGCTGCCTGGAAAAAAAAACAATCTCAAGTTATCTTCTAGATCCTGGACAAGGAATTTGTCAACTATAGTTGACTTGAATACAGTTCTAAAAACTTTCTCGATCTCCATGTGAAAGGCCATTATTCTGAGAACTTTTAAAAGTACATTAATCTCATGAACATGATTCAAACCACTGACAGTCCAGGATAAAAAAAAAAAAGTACGTTCAAGGAAAATGTATTCAGACTATATAAGGGCATATCAGTTAAGCAAAGTCAAGAAGAAAGACAAAGGAATGAGACATAGTGCACTAAGCAAATACAACGAAGTCCAAAGGGAAAAGATCACACCAAAGTCAAATGGGGATGGGGTGCAATCTGGAAAAAAACATAACTCAAAAGACAGCAGAAAATCTCCTAGACAATCTTTGCAACACTGACTTCAAAGACAACACAGGTATATAAAACAGAACGCTAAATGGTGACAAATATGCTAAGGAAACAATTCAAGGGAAAAAAGTACCACTATCACAGCAATAGCTAAATTAGAAAATGCATGGATAGAATAAACATCATAAAAATCCAGACTGCTAATAGATCAAATGTCTATAATCAAAGATTTAATTTTTTATTCATATAAAAATGTATCTCACATATTTCATATATACAATTTTAAGACTGCACTATTTCTTCCTGCTTTCCTCCCTCTTCTGTCTCTACTTTTTTAATTGTGTAATGACATACTTTCAATTTACTTTAAAATCATAAGCTTAATCCTCTAATATAGATTCTTACATGAAAAGGAGCAGGTCACTAATAAGCCTTGAACACTGAGAACAAATCCAGATCACCTGCCATTAACATACATAATATCCACATGGGGAACAAACAGAAAATGTTAGAGTGTAAATCATAAGAAATCTTCCCTGAAAGGAACTGAAGAGTGAAAGAACCTTAATCATATTATGATACACTCATTCAGAAAGCAACACCAAGATCCTAAGTAAAGTATAAAACATTAAGGAAGCTCAGCAAAACGTTCAGCTTCTGAGCAATAAATGAACGCTATCTTCACAGGGGAAAACTGAACATGGGGCCTGGCTTCCTCACAGAAGAAGGCAAGGCTAGAAGAAAACGGAATAATGTCTACAAAGTTTTGAAAGAGACAATGAACCAGGAATCTGGTTTCCAGTTAAAACACAATTCAGAGACATCACAGACCCAAAATATATAAATATCAAGGACTACAGTAAATATGGGCTATCTCAGAAAACAATTAACAAAATCCAACAAATTGAGACCAGTATGGTGGCTCAACAGGCCAATATTCTACTTGCAGCACAATATCCCATATGGGTGCTGGCTCATATCCCGTTCCACTTCTGATCCAGCTGCCTGCCTACGGACTGGGAAAGTAGCAGAGGACAGCCCAACTCTTTAGCCCCCTATCCATGAGGGAGACCCAGGAGAAACTCCTGTCTCTGGATTTGGTCTCGCCCAGCCCTGGCCACTGCAGCCATTGGAGGAAAGAAGTAACAAATAGATTTCTTCCTCTGTCTCTCTTGCTCTCATTACTCTACCTTTCGAACAAAAAAAATCCTTTTAAAAAATTTACTAAAATATTAGGATGTGTGACCCACCAATTCCACTTTGGAATATATCTAAATTAGGAATTCAAAGTGAGGACTTGAGGAAATACTCATAACACTCATGTTAACAGCAGTGCTAGTTACAATAAAGTGAGGCAGCACCTTAAGTCTTCACATTGGATGAATGAATATAAACACCACAGAATGTAATTCAGCCTTAAAAACAAAGGTGGGGCCTGGCGCGGTGGCACAGTGGTTAAGGTCCTTGCCTTGCACACCCGGGATCCCATATGGGCACCGGTTCTAATCCTGGCAGCTCCACTTCCCATCCAGCTCCCTGCCTGTGGCCCGGGAAAGCAGTGGAGGACGGCCCAAAGCTTTGGGACCCTGCACCCGCGTGGGAGACCCAGAAGAGGCTCCTGGCTTTGGACCGGCATCGGACGGAAGATCTTCCTCTCTGTCTCTCCTCTCTGTATATCCGCCTTTCCAATAAAAAATTTAAAATTTTTTAAAAAAAGGTGGCCCTGACACTCACTAGAACATTGAGGACCTTGTGGCCAGGATGTTAAGTAGGATCAATTGGTCCCCTCAAAATACCAGGACTCCATCTAGATGGAGGCACTTGCGTTGACAAAGCCATAGAACTACATGCAGGGGCTGGAGGAAAGAGAGGGAAGCAGAGGGACTGCCCAGCCTGCACAGTTCCATTTCATGTGATGAAGAGTTCTGCATGTGGACAGGGTGACGGTTGTACCTTATTAATACATTTAATTCCATGCAGTCATGTATACAATTGTGGTTAAGGTGGTACATTTGACATGCACTTTTCCCAACCAAAAAAAAAAAAAGAGGAAAAATAGCCAAAAATTAAAATAAGTCAATGTGTCAAATATTAGTCAGAATCTGGTTATAACTGGTATAAGGAGAGATACCTCTTATGGCTGGCAGAACAGTAAAATCGTTTGGCCAGTTTGGAAAACCATATTTAAGAAAACTGAACCTGACTGTGTCCTAATACTCTGCCAGTCCAATCCTCAGGACTTACAAAGCCAAAAACCAAGTAGACACCTGCCCCATGTTTATGGGGTGATCCCCAAAGCTCGCAGCAGTTCTATGTGCAACAGGAGACAAACTGGGAGCACACAAACGTCTACCAACAGGTGGCTCAAAGAACAAATCACGCTGTTCATACCCAATGGAAAGGAAGGAGCTACTAACACACACAACAGCATGGATGAGATTCAAAACAGTCATGCTGAGTGAAAGAAGCCAGAGGAACAAATATGATTTGTATGACGCCATTCAATAAAGCTGCGGCAAATGCAAACATCCATAATGATAGAAAGCAGATCAGCAACCGCATGGTAAGAGAGCTGGAGGAAGGAATGAATTACCAAAGGGAACTGTTTATTATGTACACGGGACTAATAGTTTTGTGACTACACACACGTCCAAACTCTTCAGAGTGAAGATTTCACAAATGTGCTGCACATTCTGCTAAGAGAGCTGTTGAATAAATATCATATCATTCCGGGAATTATTTAAAGATAAAGTGAGACACTGTGCCTAGTAAATTTTAAATGAGTTAATAAAATACTCCATTATTCTGGAACACAATCAACACTTGATAAACATTACTCTCTACTATTATAACAACTGGAAAAAAAGCAGTTGGGTCATTAATTCAGTGTTCAAAGTGCCTACAATATACCTTAGCTTCTTCCTCTTGTGCTTTTTTCACAATTGCTTGTAATTGCACCTCACGTTTAAACTCCGCATGAAGCAACTTCTCTTCCATCATTCGACGCCGCTGATCGAGCAGTTCTTCCTTCCACTTCCGGACGTCCTTCTCCTGGGTACACACAATTATGGCAATGTGAGATTTAACACACACAGTCACTTACTCAAAGCATAAGCAGGCAGACGGTTTGGGAAATACACAGACTGAGCTTGCAAAGACATGCAGCAGTGTGACCGCTGATCAAGAAGATAGACCGGAAGCCAGACTACCTGAGTTCACAACTCCGGGTGGCCACTTACATCTCACGTCCTTATCTATCAAACCAGAGTCCTAACAACATTATCCAGTATATGGGGTGATTCCAAAGATGACGCTAACATTATTGTAAAATTCTTAAAACAGTGACTCCATAGAAATATTTGCTATGATCCCATGGGTAATGAACTTTTATTTCTTATCATTAAAACCTTAAAATCTACAAAATACAGTTTTTCAAGTAAGCAGTTTTATCCTGGAGAGTAGGAAATGGAACGAAGTCTACTAAAAGAAAAAGTCATCACACTACTTGCGTAGCAAACAGTCTCAGAAGTGAGACAGGTGTGAGAATTTGCCTCGAATACTTTCAAAAATGGCACCCACTGAAGGAAGAGAATGATTTGTCAAGTGGATTCAAGGATTCAAAAAAAAAAAAGGCTCAGTCCTAGAAAGAACAGATTCTAAGACAGAAGCTGGCTCAAGGTCAACAGGAAAAAAAAAAAACCAAAATGCTGGGCACGTTGTAACTTATTTATTATGTATTAAAAGCATGCTGCAGAAACAGCACTCTGCCATTCAGTGGCCTTTCAATCCTGGGAACACTTGGCCTCCCTAGCTTCTGTTTCCATGTGTGTAAAACGGCAGACTAGACCTGCCCTGCATACCTCATGGAGCTTCTGGTGGTGAGCACTGGGGCTAGATGTAAGTTATGAAGAACAGCACCGCAAACAGTAACTGCAACACGCATGGGAAGCAGCATTTACCAGGGGAACTACTTGAGGAATATGCACACAGATGGAAAAACCAGGCCGAGGCCCTACAGTCTTATATAATTTTAATAGTCTATGGTTTGTTCACATGACTACAACATGGAGGTCAGGTTATAGCATGAGAAAATCTGTAATTTTGTTTTTACTAAAAAGCACAGCAAGATAAGAAATGCGACTGAACAGAGAACTTCTCTTAAACTGAACAAGAAGACTACTTTTCATGTTTATTATTCATTCTAAATGACAATTTCTTAAGATTTAGCCAAGGAGAAAAACCACAGCATTTTCTTCCAGTCCAGTAAATGTTACTACTGTACCAAAGAGATTCTCATGTTGCCTAATTCAGATCATTGCATCTGGTGATTTCTCAGTAATGCAACTAAGATGCTAACTGATGCCTATCAGTATTCCTGTCAAGTGCCAGATGGCAGCAAAGGGGCTCACTTACTGTAACATGGCAGGCCTGCACCTTTGGCTACCCTGTATTAGGCAGGTGTGATGGGTGGCCTACATGGTAAGCCACTTGAGCAGTCTCTTCCCATACAGTACCAGGAATAAGCAAAAGAACACAACAGCAGCAATGACATAAAAGACTGCAGCTTCCACGTCATCAACCCTCTGGCTCAGTCCCTCTCTTCCTCTCACCTCCTCCACACTCTTTCCATCTTTCTCCTCTTTCTGTCTCCCTCCCCTCACTCATTCTCCCAGGTTACTTTCTATGGGGAAACTAGCGGCCGTGTCACAATGATTCCTGGACTTGGACAGTCAGAGGGGACCTGGGGCTGGCAAATAACCAAATAAGAGTTGGAAGTGGATCCTGTAGCCCTGATAACTACCACTCTGACAGAAAGATTGGATGCAATCTCATCAGAGTCCCAAGAATCATGAGTAGACCACTGTGGACTGGGAACACTGCAGAAAGACATACCATGTGCTGAGTAATGCCCGTCCTAGCTCTGTGCTGCTTCATGCACTTGCCTCACCTAAGCCTTACAAGGCATTCTGTTGGTCTGACAGACAGACACTGAAATGCAATGACGCAATTGCCCAGAGCATCAGGGCTCATACTGAGGTCAACTCAGACTTGAACTGGACTGGCCATCTCCAGAGTCCACATTCCCTGCATGACAGTACAAGGATCAGTAACCATGGGGCTGCACAAGCCCACTGCCTTCGACAAAAAACAGTGCCCTGCTGATGCTCCCTTCTACGACTGCTCAAAATGAGCTTGCCTCACTAATAAGTTTATGTCACATAGCCTTAACACTCCTTCTAGTGAAAAAGAGCAGAATAAAGCCAGCTTTTGTGGTGTTGATTGTGGGCATGTCACTGCACCTCTCCAGAATCATGCTCTTTGCATAACTTGTACTCTGAGCAGCGTCAGTGCAGCTCCCCGCTCCTCCTGGCCTCATAACTGCCATCCCGCTTTCTCCCCGGAATGCAGTGTTTTTAGATCCCAGATGCTGTGTATGGTGTTTCTATGAATTTGCCTGTGTGAGACTTCTGTATGGTTTCATACTTAATCATGTTTCTGATTCCATTTTAAAAGCTCCATTAAACATTTCTTTTAAGGCACATCTAGTGAGGAAAAATTTCCCTCTATTTTCATGTCTCTTGGAAAGACTCTCTCCTCTTCCTGTGAAGTACAACTTTGCAAGGTAAGGGATTCTTGGTTGGCCACTTCAGTATTTTAAAGACATTGTACCCCACCGGCTCGTGGTGGGAAAGGTTTCTCCTGAGAAATTTATTCTCAGTTTTATGTATGAGGGGGCTCCATCTGTGTGACAAGTCACTCTGCTCTTGCTGATATCAAAGCTCATAACTTAATTATAATGAACCTTGGTTTGAATTTATTTATCTTGAACTTACTTGTGTTTTATGGATTCTAGACTAGGTATCTACTACTCTGCACAGATTTGGCAAATTTGGGTTACTGGTTCTTTTTTAAAAAAGTTGCACTCCTTCTTCCTTCTATCATTTTATAGTGTATCTGTATGTTCAATGATATTTCCCATAATCCAATAACTTATCTTCATTATTTTTCACTGCTTTTTTTCTCCTCTTTCTGGATAACTATAAATCCCTATCTTCAGATTCTCTCTTTCCTCTGGTGATCAAGCTGGCTGCTGAAGTTTTCTATCTCAGTATTTCATTTAACCACTGTATTATTTAACTCCAGATTCTCTGCTGGTTTCTTTTTTAATTTTTCATATTTATTTGTTCCTGTACAATTTTCCTAACTTTCTAACTACCTGCAGCGATCATCTTTTATCTCACTGACCATCTTGAGAGCAACTACACTGAACATCTTGCCAGGCAATTTTAAGAGCTGCATTTATTTTAACTGGTGACCAAACATTTGTTTTTTTCACTGAAGCCCGTTGTATCCCTGCACTGCTGCCTGCACATCTGAAGGAGCTGTCGTGTTTTCCAAACTTGATGGACTTGTTCCAATAGGAATATCCTAGAGAAGGAAGTGGAGGAGGCATGAGGCAGGGGCATGCAGGAGTGGACTGTCACACCGGCCCAGGAACTACATGTTCTCTGACTCCAACAGGTTCTGGCTGTTCACAGTAGCCATGAGAGCTGCTATAATCATCAGCATGTCTGTGTTGACCTCCAAGCATATTGGGATAGGTAGCAGAAAAGGAACATAGCAGCAGGGCCACGTCTCGTGACACATACAGCCCTGAGTTTAGCTGCAGGACTGTATGTTATAGTGGGAGCAGTGTGTATACATGTACACAGGGCTATCATTACATGCACAAACAATGACAACAACTGGAGGCCGGAGTGGCTGCTTGCACCCAGTGGCTGAGGAGATTTGCCACAGGTACATCTCTACAGAAATATGAAACAGAGCGCAGCACAGGCTGAACCCTGGCCACAGCTCACAACAAAATCCTGATCATCTTGGGCTCAAAACTGTCCTATGATCATTTTACACTTCGGACAAGACTCTTCAAGGACACCCTTTAATGAACATGGCTAATGGATGGGGCCATTGCTTTGGTGCAAAACATGAAGCTGCTGCCTGTGACACCAGCATCCCACAGCTGAGAGCTAGCTCCAATCACGGATACTCTGTGGCCAATCCACTTCCTCCTAATGAGCCAGGGAGGGCAGCAGAAGACAATCCAGTCTGGAAGACCCAGGCAGAGTTCCTGGCTCCTAGCTCCAGCCTGGCCCAAACTCAGATGCTTCGGCCATTTCCAGAACAATCCAGCGAAAGAAGATCCCTCTCCTTCCCTGTGTCAGTCTTCCTTTCTGCCTTTCAAATACATAAACTCCTTTAAATAAAACAAGAAACAGGGAAAATGGAAAAGGACAAAACACAGCTTCAAAAATCCATGCCAACGCTACTAAATATCAAATACTGGGTAATTTAAAAATGACCAATCCTTTTCTTTCTTTAGCATTAGCTTTCTGTAATAAAATGGTACCAATGCATTTATTTTATAACAAATGATATTATTCTCAGGGTTCTTTCAGTTTCTCTCAGACCAGAAGAAAAATAAAGTCCATCAACTTATTATAAATTCCAAAAACAAACAAACAAACCTCACCCTCTCTAACAATTTCTGAAGCTTTAAAGTTTTCTCTTCACGTAACTTTTCTCTTAGCTGCTGGGCTTTCATTTGTTTTTCTTCATGTTTCTTCTTAGATTCTGCTATTGTTCTATTAATACAAACAAATGGACAAGAGACACAATGTTTACGTTATAAAGCCAAAAATAGTGTTGTGCAGACTTCAAAGTCCTTAGAGTACACAAAACCAGCTTCAGCAGAACATTTCGGGAGAGTGCTGTCACTTTTCAATTGGTCTGGAACGTTCCTAAAGTACTGTGCCTTAAAAGGTCAGGCAACAATTCAGCGCCATCGTCCAGCATGGCTGCCTCCCTCCTCTCCAACCCTGCACGAGTGGGTGGGTCTCCAAGCGGCAGACCTTTTACGAGAGGGTGAGGAAAGCTTCTCATGCATGTGGATTCCATGTCCTGGGGGTCGAGCAGGCTCCTCCTCTACGATATCCCCCCAGGAGGTATTCTGGCGCCAAGATTCACGAGCTGTCCACAGAAAGGAAGGCCAGTGTTACAGTCTAACCACAAAGGTCTCTGAAACCAACATTTAAAGATTTTGAAAAGGCAACAGCATTCCTTCTTGAATTATTTATATTATAGAAAAACTGCACAAAACAAAATAATCCATTTTATCCCACTGAACCTTCAGATCAAATACAGGCAAACACACACACAAAGTACCTTCATAATCTGCAAGAACATCGTTCCAGTCCATAGACATTCCACAGAAAGATACACTCCCACTGCCCATGCTGGCCTAAAATATAAGGGATATTGACAAGTATCATTTTCAACATAGTTAACAATCCTAAAAAAATTCCTTAAACATGATCTTTTCCTGTCTAAACATACTTATTTTAACCAGTGGTTCAAAACCAGAAATAAAGCTACACAGATGCCAAATTAAAATATCATAGCTATAGGGCTGGTGTGGCATTGTGGCAAATCAAGTTAAGCTGCTGCCTGCAATACCAGGTTCAAGATCTGGCTATTCAATTTCGGATCCAGCTTCCAGCTAATGTGCCTGGGAAAGCAGCAGAGAATGGCCCAAGTCCTTGGGTCCTGCATGTGTATGAGACCAGATGGAGTTCCTGGCTCCTGGCTTCAGTTAAGCCTAGTCCCAGCTACTGAAGCCACCGGGAGAATGAACCAGCAGATAGAAATACTCTCTCTCTTTCTCTCACTCATGCTCTTGCTCTTCCTCTCTTTATGTAACTCAGCCTTTCAAATAGATAAATAAATAATTTTAAAAAAAATATCATAGCCTATACATTTTAGGAAACTACTAGCCAAGTCAAATAAATTTCAAAAGAAATACACTGACTATGTTCTCATGACATAAACATGGACATATTGTCTATACAGCACACCTTGACAGAACCCAGGATTATTTGTTGAGCATGTAGTGATAGTAAGGCAGTGAATACTTTGAGATCAGTGAGTACATAAAGTACAATATCTATAAATTACAAGCAATGCTGAGTTCTAACTCTGTGTGAGAATAAATTCCTTGATTTGTACAATGTGAATAACAATCTTCAACTTGTCAACCGTACTGCATGAGACAATGCTTAGTAAGACACTCCAAAATATTAGCATTATTTCCTGTGTGAATCTAAATCAGAGAATACAAATGCTGATTATAATTATCACCAAGTGAGACCAACTATACTGTGAGCTTTACACATAACAGATTAAATGGACTCTAGATTTTTTTTTTGATTTTTTATTATATTTCTGACAATCTTTTGGACTCTAGATTTTTGTGGCCCTTGGCGTTCTCTTTCTGCACACTCCTCAGCTGTGTCACAGTCAGAAACTCACCGAGAAATCGCTGTCGTTGTCTGTCTCGATGTTGATGTCATTGTTCTCTTCTGCCTCAATCTCTCTCGTCAGCTGTTCCTCCTCAGCAATGGCGCTGGCAATGGCTTCCTCATTGGCCTTTTCCAGCCGATCTGCCAACTCTTCCTTTTTAGCAAGGACCTCTGCCATTGACTAGAAGGTAAAACAGAAATAGGCCAGAAGAATCATAACTCAACTGGAAACTGAGTCACCGTTTCTTTTTGCTCTAGTCAAAAACTCATAACACGTAAAATAGCACCGACCTACAATTATAAAACCTGGGGTTCAAAACAAACTCAACCACTTGTGAGCTATGAGGTACACAGGCACTTAAGAGCAGGTACCCAGTGGTATTCCATTAATTGGGACAATAATCCATGGCTTACCTTCTTTAGCTGGCTGCTATGAATGAGTGACCATGGAGTTACATAAATAACAGGTATTATTAGTGACAGTGTGAATTTCATTAGGGTCCTAAAATCTCAGAACAGCCAAGGATCAACTATGCTCACTAAATGTAAAACAAAACTGGCATACCATAATGGAAACAGGGAAAGAAAATATGCTACAACAGCAATGATTCATTTTGAACATATTTAACTAACTTAAGATATGCATTAGAATCAAAGAATACATTTCAAAATAATACATTGTTGAATCTCTGTAAGATGAAAAGATAATATAAATCCTAAAACAAACACTGAAATAATCAAGTGGTCATACTTATTGAGAAATGATACAAAGGAAAGGGAAAAAGAAATCAAAGAACACATGGGTGACAGAAAAAACAGAGGCAGTTCTAAAAAACCTTCATAATGCTATTACATGCAAATTGTCCGAAGACCCCAATTTAATGGACAGAAACTATAAAACTGGATAAAAAGGGAAAACCCCTATGTATGCTTTTTATAATCCTGATTTAAATTAAGAACACAGATTACAAATAAAAGATTACACTAATTCAAAGAAAATTTAAGTATGAATAGCAGACACAAATTTTACAGTATAAAAAAAATCACATGGTTAAAGAACATTTCATAGTAATGAAGATACCTATTAATGCAGCAGATTAAATAATCCTACATCTTTATGAACTTAACGGGAGGAAACACTGGTAGTATTGTGCAAAATAAATAAAATTACTGAGAATGTAAAATGGTGCAATCACCTTAAGTGAGAAGCCTGATAGTTCTTGGAAAGGTTAAACAGAGTTACATGACTCAGCAATTCCACTCCTACACACAACAGCAAGTCCAAAACAAATAAAACAGAGGTACACACAAAAACTCACATGCAAATATTTAAAGCCACACCCCCGTTCAATGATGTAGTGGGAACCACCAGGTAAACATCCATCAGCTGATGAATGGTACCACACAGTGGAATACTGCTGGGGCATAAAAAGAAGTACTGAGATAGGCAACAACAGGGACGAACTTCTACAACATTACCCTAAGTGCAAGAAGTCAGTCACAAAGAACCACATACTACAATCTGCTTCTATGAAATCTCCGAAACAGGTCAGCCTGGACCATCTAGGAATGGGACGGTGGAGGTGAGGAAAAGGGAGTGGCTTTTAACAAGTACTGAGCTGCTTTCTCAAGTGATGAGAATACCACAAAAATGAGGATGGGAGCAGATGTACAGTGCTGTGAATGCACTGAAAAATACTTCATTGGAAACATCGAATGTGTATTACATCAAGGAAAGCAATAAAGCTGTTCTAGGAGAAGGAACAAATTTTCAGTTACATTCAGAGATTTTAAGACCTCTCTCTCACCTGACAGAACAAGCAGACAGAAAGATTGGTAGGGCTATGGAGACCCTACATACTGGGCCAGGCCAATTCCCCAGGGGAGCAGCACCCATGCTTGCATAGAGAAGTGGATATAAATGTTGGTGACACCACCAACAACAAGGACAGAAGCTATGCATGGCTGTAAGCAAATGGATCAATATACTGAATCATATACAGTCAAGAAAGAACGGAACCCTGAGCACACAGCTACATAAATGAAGCTCGACATTCCTAAGACAAAGTAATATACAGTGGCGGGGGTGGGGGAAGGCAATGGTATTCACCAGAGAAGCCGATATGGGAGAGGGTAGAAAGAAGGGACTCCCAGGGGAACAGAAAAACTTCAGGGGACAATCAGTCCTCCTCACTGCCCCAGGGGTGCCAAAGGCCCCAACACCAGTCAGAATGTCTTCGTGCGGACATTTTAAATGCAAGGGGGTTCATTAAAAATCAACTATCCTTCCACAAAGCTAATCTGAAATACACCTTCCTTCCACAAAGCTAACCTGAAACGCAGAAGCCCAGCTTAGCTAAGTGGTCTGGGTAGGGCTGGTGGCACTGGCACTTCTTTTAAAGTTCTCCCTACTCCAATTCGTCTCCATAAAATACATAAAACTCGTTCCTCAAGAACAGAATTTGGTGAGGAAATGAAGAGAAGACTATTCCTGTGTACCACAAACTTTTCTTTCAAAATTCTGATCCTGCCCCCCAACAGACAGTAACTCTAGCTAAGGCACCACATCCGTATCACAGCTAACCACAAGTTCCAAACAGTATAATTAGGACTGCAGAAGGGAAGGTCTCCTTGAATTTCCCTGTCTCTTCTCTGAAGTGTATGCTTCCTAGAACATAACACCTCTATTTAATTACTAACTGAAGACCCCTAAAGATTCTAACCGAGAAGCACTTACAGACTACAATGTGGTTCCGTTATCTGGAACATAATTCCAACTATTTTCACATGACCAAACTCAAACAAATATCTGCATGCATCATTATTTTGGAAATGCCCAAATTTTACTTGAAAACGTTAGTAAATATATAAAACTCAGAGTGCATTTTTTTTACAATGCTGGAAAAGTTAACCCAAAGTAGAAAAATTCTCATAGTCATTTTTGCTGCAGTTTCTTAAAGAAGTGAAATACACATTTTGTTTATTTTCTTTTCGGCTTTGATCAGCTGTGAAACTACACTGCAGTGAAATGGAAGGGCAAACACAGTCTTCTCACCTCTGTAGGACCTTGCTGTCATTCTCTACCTGAAAACTACAGAAGGGGTTTAGCCAAAACAGAAATATCTACATCAGCTCAAACCACAATTTTTAAAAAAAGCCTCTTGGTTCACTTAAAACTACTCTAAGAATACACAAATATCCATATTTAAAACAAAACTTTTTCATAAGTACGTAAATTTGACCCTGAAAATAACCAAGGGTTTTAATAACTGCAATAAGATTATACACTAATACATGCAGTCAAAACAAAAGTGATGAAAAAAATGATTTTCAGCAAGCAACTTATGCTTCTTTTAACAATGTTTTTTTTTTCCTTCAGAAATATCATTCCCACAGTATCAAACTGCAGAAAAAACACTTAATATGACACACTGCTGGAAAAGAAAAATATAAACATGATGAATTTCTTATCTTATATTTTAAAGTCATTAATTATTCACTCATAATTACGTTGTCTTTTAAAATGTTCGTGACCAAAAGACACAAGAACTGGCCTACTTTACTGAAGATATCTAAATATCTGTTTATCATAATAGCCCTTATTTTCTTATTCTTCCCATGAACAACCCACACCAAGTTTCACCTAGATCCAGTGTTATCTTTTTAAGATCATAATTTCATTTTGTATTACCTGCTGAAAAAAGTCTTTCTGCACAGCACTAAGTCTTAGCAGAAATTCAGTACATAGCAGCAGTTTTCCAAAAAACAAAACTGGACTAATATTTTTCACCTGTCCATATGTGCCTATTTCTTTAGAAAGCTGCCAATACAACTAACATGAGCTGTTCTGGATTATCTGCCACAGTCACAAATCTTAATGCTAAAGTTAGCTACAGGAGGGAAAGGACAAAACTAAGCAGTCACCCTTTGCACGGTATAACCTATAAATCAGCAATGCATATTTAGAAATTCTGGAAAAGGGATAGCAAATAAGTTTCATCTTAGAGACCAACTGCAAGTCACTTTAAGTGTTCTATTGGGCAAATCTTTAAAACTGAGTCCAGTTCGCTTCTTATCAGAACACCAAACACTGCCTGAAAGACTTTCTTGTTCATGGTTTAGTTCTATAATGCTAGGCTAATCACAAATTAAATGATTTTAAATAAATGAACAGACTCACCTTCTGTAAAACAAGAAGAATCTTCACTGTATCAAAAGATTATTGTAAGGAAATGTTGGAGTGAAATAACATACCTAATCCTATATAAAAACGTCTTTTACAAAGTAGAAAGGAACAAATATAAGTTTGTGCTTTTGGATGTCAGGTCTCCTCACTGTATCTCCTCAGAACTCTGATAAATTGTTCTTACCAAGTTAGCAGCACTCACATTTGAAATATCTGAAGGGTCCATTTCATTTTCTATCCTTGTTTTTTCCACTGCAAGCTTATCTTCCTTTATCCCCAAAGGGGGTGTGTCGGCTTGCCGGATAACTGACACACGCTCCTCCACGCAAACGGCAGGCGCTCCAGGAGTTTGCACAGACGTATCCTGACTACTGCCAGAATTCTTGACATCATCCAGTGCAGGCACTGTGAACTAACAAGACAGATTGAAAGAATGAATCAGAGATGATAAAAAAAAAAAAAAAAGTGCTCACCAACCACAATGCTAGGTAGGAGCTGGTTCTGCCTACCATCGCAACTGTGAAGCAGCACCTAGCAGGCATCCCAAGCCCCTTCTTGTATGCCTCTAGTGTGGGCAAACAAGGAAATCAGGAAGTACCACCAGCTTTACCTAAAGCACTCTAAGAAAGTAAGCAATATAGACTGTAATTATATTACAAGGTAAGCCACTTTCTGGTAAGCCTTTAAAATCCATTACAAAAGAAATATGGTCACACATAACAATCGTGTGTCCTACACAACTGAGAGCTCTTTTACAAAGTGTGCTTAATAACAAATGAGAATATTTAAAAAATAATCTCAAAATCCTATTTTGACAAATTTACTGTGAGGCACTTTATTCAAAGACATAAAACTTACTCGGTCCAGTAAACAGAAACATGACCTCAGAGCATCTTCACAAAAGATGCAGCTGGAACACGATCCCACCTCTCAGACGTGAGAGAGACACATGTGCCACAGTGCCCATCCAACCCTGCAAGGCACCGGGGGGGGGGGCCTTGGGCTTCAGAGGGCATGAACACCTCCTGATTCTACAGATTCCTCTCTCATGAACAGCTAACATCTCATCAAAAAGAAATGCGAAAACAATCTTTAAAAAAAGCAATGGCTTAGGTCACCATCCAATCATTTTTTCATGTTAATACATTTAAAACAGCATTCATATCAAATTTTTTATTTCATCTACATTCAAGAACATGCTGATGATTACTGTTTATGTATGCTATAAAGTTTATCATAACTTTATTGTATATTATTTTTAAAAATCATGGGGTGAAATTTTATTATTATAATATTTCAGTAAGCAAAATGACTTCTATGAATTCTGAAATAATGTTTGGCTATGAAATCCCTGCAGCCCAACTGTAGAGTCTACCTAGAGAGATGACCCCTAAGCTACTCAATCACTCCACTCTATTGGAAAGATAAGAGCAAGCTTTTAAATATGTCCAGGGAATCTATTTCTGACTAATCAAGCACACTCCATTACAGCATGTTTAAAGTAAACAAAATTGCCAATTTCAGCCACAGTGTAGCCAAAACCAAGATAAAAACTTGAACAAGAGATAAGCAGCATAAACCAGTGTTTAACCTCAAATTGTGTTATTTAAAATGTAAGAAAGTGTGTGCTCAGTAAATAAAGTGATGTCATTGTACAGGAAGGAACCCTCAAGTCAAGACATAAGAGTCTGGGGGCAGAAAACTGCTCACAGGACCTTGGCCTCTGTTCCCTCATCCGTACTGGGCAAGTGCTAGGCAGTTTTTAATATCCCTTCTGCCCATTCTGCGGCTGAGGTCCTTGCCTTAAACATGCCAGCATCTCATATGGGCGCCGGTTCTAATCCTAGTAGCCCCACTTCCCATCTAGCTTGCTGCTTGTGGCCTGGGAAAGCAGTCAAGGATGGCCCAAGGACTTAGGACCCTGCACCCGTGCGGGAGATCTGGAGGAAGTTCCTGGCTCCTGGCTTTGGATTGGCTCAGCACCAGCCACTGCGGTCACATGGGGAATGAATCACTGGATGGAAGATCTTCCTCCCTCTCTCTCTCCTCTCTATATTTGACTTTTCAATAAGAACACATAAAATCTTTAAAAATAAAAAAAGATCCCTTCTAACTTTCAGGCATGGTAAGACTATTTATCTGGTATTTTGAAGGACATTGTGGTTGAAGGCAGTCAAGCAAACCAACCAAAGATATTAAAGCACGATATACACAATGAGCTACCAAAGGTATGTTATTTCACTAATTGTTTCATTTACAATGAAATTTCCTATGCATTATTATAGCTGGAAAACACCAAAAACTAAGTTTTTAACTAATCAAGAACTACAAAACTAATGTATCTTCAGAGATAAAGTTAAAAATAAAATGAGACCAAGCCCATAGTTTTACTATTTAATGTGGAGAGAAAAGAATGGTGGTGTGTTTTCCAATTACACTCCAAGTTTAAGAACTCAAATCTAAAATTGTGAACTTGAAACCCACTCACATCAGTTCTTAAATAAACACTAGATAAACATTCCAGCAGCAATAAAACCCCGTTTGATTAATTCTTTATAAAAATGCTAAACTTGGCTAAGTCCTATAAACTACTTCAAAAATTCTACTAATGGTCAGAAACTGAAGTGTCCCAAAGTGTTGATTTCAGCATAAGCATTATTGAAATTGCATCTCACTGTTTATATTACTATCAAAATTATTTATACGTCACTGACCATGGTTTATAATCTTCTTGGAAATATTTATATTAGCATTACTGATGTTTACATAGAGTCAACCATATTTACTAAAAAGTCAGTATCATTTATATAATGAAGTCAAAATTAAACTACAAAATAATGTCAAGAAAAGCTAGAAATATGTTAATTCCATTTTTAGAATGACACTGGAGAAAACAAATAGTATCACCTTGGCTACCATCAACAGATATCTATTCTGAAATATTTTAGCAACAGTAAAATTATTCAAAAAATAAATTTCTTATAGCAATTATTTCTAAAAGTCCAATATTATTCTGCTTTTTTACTGCATAAAACCAGTATAACACCTGGTTGTATTTTTCCCCTTCAACCATAACTTGGCAAGTATGTTAGAAGTTTGTTAAGAGGCACTAAGAAGTGATTTTGTTGGTAGATAAGCCTTCATGTGGTATCTCAACATTAAGGAGCATATACACCAGTTATATCCTAGGTGTCCAAGACTCTTCCACAGAGTGGGAAATTAAAAGGTAACATAAGGTACTGCTCCCAAGGAGAGTGCAACCTCACAGGTGCATAAAACATACCCACACTGAAGAGCCACAAATTCTCTGGATATACAAACAATGCTATGTAAAAATGAATGCATTCAATGTCTGGGCATTATACCCAAATGTTGTGCATAGATTACACTTAATACATGTGAAACACATAATAAAATGAAAGGAAAAAATATGGCAATCTGTGAATGGTATGAAATGGTGACTGTTTAATTCTTAGAATGTTGTCTTAAGCATGAAACTTCTCATACTCACAAGCTTTACACACAGCGTAGGCAGAGGGGACACTCCAGCACTACAGCCCCTCTGCACAGGGCAGGGAAAGGAAGTCTCCTCGTGCCCTACCTGGGTTCTCTCAGCCAGAGGGTGGTCACTGCAGCGCAAGGAGTCTTTGGGCCGAGGTTCCACAGTGTTAGCTGGGACATCTCCAGTAAACTCGCCTTTCTGTCTGCTGTCATTGGGCAGGAGACACACGTTTTCCTTGTTGCTGTCATCCTTGGGCCGCAAAGTCTCTGGCGTGGGGGCAGCTTTGGCTGTCATTGCTGCTGACCGAGCACGGACAGGTCTCCCTCTCTGGACGGTCTCCCAGCCTTCAGCATCTTTTTGTTCTGTGCATTTAAGGGAAGAAAATACAGCATTTCTTTAGAAGACAAAAACATCTGGAAGGCATTTTCCATTAGTAATACACAAACTTAAAAGTATCTGACAAGATACACACATAAACATATACAGGTACATATAATTATCTTGAGTTGATAGTTGTACATGGTGAGAGCTAATTTCATTCTTTTACATATATACATCCAGTTTATACTGTATTTTCTGTCAAAATTCCTCCAACATATTCCACATGTGAGCTAATTCTAAAATTTACATAGCAAAATAGAGGCTAAAATGGCTAGAAGACATTTTTTTAAATAAACAAACAAAAAATGTAGACGAGATTGCTCTGATGCTAAGTCATACCAAGATATCATATCATTATCAAGACAGTACTGAAAAGGTAAGCATACAGCATACCAGTGAGATGGAAGACAGAACCCAGCAATATATCCACACAAGTGTGACCAGCCGATTTTTTATAAAATTGAAGAAGCAATTCAAGGTAGGAAGAATTTTGTGTAAATGGTGATAGAGGAAGTAGACATCCATAGATGACAAAAAAGGTACCTTTTCTGGAAACTCCCACTGTCTAAAGTCTAATTTCATGCCAATAATGGAACATAGCAAATGAGGTCATCTGTAAGGAGGCTGATTTAGCTCCCAATTCTGGAGTCTGGGGTGTCCAAGGGCATAGCGCGGATTGGGGCCTGGTGCAGCACGCAAGGGAAAGATGAATCACACAAGGCAGCATCACTTTCAGAGACCCCAGCCTCTCAGGCACAAGCCCATCTTGGGAGAAAGGCATCCCTCCTAATGACCTAACCATAGAATAGGACAGATGGATGGACAAAAGCAAGGAAGGGAGGAAGCCAGAATTACAGAAAGAGTGAGAGACAGATTTTCCAGCCACTGGTTCTCTTCACAAGTTCAATGGCCACAAGTGGTGCACAAGTTGCCCAGGGTTGGGCAAACCAGGAGCCAGGAGCTTCTTCTGGGTCCTTCATGTGGAAGCAGGGGTCTGAGCATTTATGCCATCCTCCACTGCTTTCCTCAGACCATTAACATGGGGATAGATCAGAAGTGAAGCAGCAGGGATGGAAATTAGTGCCCACACCAGGATGCTGGTAATGTAGGGAGTGGCTTAACCCACTACGTCAAAACACTAGCCTTGACTTAACCACTTTTGATATGGCATTCAGATTCATATTTCAACATGCACTTTGTCAGAAACAAATCTGGGTATCCCACAGGGTTTCAAGGACCCACCTGATTAACCTACCATCACTGTCTCCCCCATGGTCCACACAGTCAGGGAGCTGGGGTCAGGAGTAAGAGCAGGGGACTGAACCCAGGCACTTGGGGGATGCAGGCATCCTAACAATCTTCCTACACGGTAGGCCAAACACCTGCCCCAGTACCTACAACCTTTTACTTCGAGGATCTGGCTTTGGCATCTCGAATGAGAAAGTCTATTTAAATTTGACTTGCAGTTTTTAATATTTCTGTGATGCAAGTTCCCAAGTATACAACACAGAAAGAATAGTAAAATGAACCCTATTATCATCTAGCTTCAAAATTGATCAACATTCTAATATTTGTAATTCCCCCTTCTCCTTTGCTTTTCTGAAATATTTTAAAATACATGCTAGCTATCCTTTCTGCTATAAATACACAGTATGTTTCTTAACAGAATTTTTGAAGTATAACGATACTGATACCCAATAACATTCATAATATCTCAAATAATACAGTATCTAGTATGAGTTTGTCATTGATGTTGAACTTAATTGAAACTTAAATTTCCACTTTAGCTTTAAATATCATAAAATGCAAATTGCAATGGAAATCAAAATGAATGATAAAAGAGACACATATCTAGAGAAAACTAAAACTGAATTATAAAATATAAAAGGTTAACTAAAGATTTTAGCTTCCAGTTAACTCAAAAGGCTCACCCTAAGAAAGACTTTGATTAATCACTGTACTTTTTAGAGAAAAGGAAAGCATCTCTTTCTGGAACCTTCCTTACAGCAAGAAATACTGCTGAAAACCTGGACCTGAATCATTAACTATTAAAAAAAAGCCAATATAAACACGATCATGTCATGCAATAAAACCTGACATAATCAAAGCCAAGTCAAAAGAGGAATAGATCAAAATAAAAACCATGGCAGGTATCTTAGAAACTGGGAAATCAGCTAAAGTAAAATTACATTTGTAATGGACCCTCAGTGAAAAGTTATTAAAAAATTATTCCAATAATACAGAATGTTTAAGAACAGTAAATCATGCAATTAAACTGTCAGAGGCATTCTAAATACTTAGAATATTGTCAGAACAGATGTACACAAATCTGAAAAGTCTGTGGTTTCATTTCACAATTTTGATACTTGTACAATTGTTTTTAGTTGTACAAATATTACTGATAAAATTCAAGTAAATATAATCAATAACTGAAGTGCACCTGCCTTAATTCTAACCGGACTGAATTGCTGGTTTGCTTTATTACTATGTTAAACTCACTAGTATATTCAAGAGATGATACGCTTTGATCTAATTTCTGGCTAACCATGATGCCCTTTCCACTCTCGCTGAGTTTCTGCAACTAAATGGATGCTGTTGTCACCTTCAGGGTTGGGAAGGACTCGCAATGAAGCCACTGAGACTCAGACTCTGTCAATTCAAAGATTTTTACCTGCAGACTCAGATTTTCAGAAAGCACAAGTCTCTTCAAGTTTGTCTAATTCTTCTGGAGCCAACTTATAGCTGTGCTTTTCAAGAGACCATAAGCTTCATCTAACTTCCCTAGTGCAGTGTACATACTGTCTACAGGTCTTCTTTGGGGTTTGACCTTGCCTGCCCCAGGTAACAATAGGGGAAACCTCTGATCTTCCCCAAGACAGGTAAACTCCTTTAGGAGAAAACCCACTGGCCCACAACAGGACCAAAATCAGCCAAGCTCCATGGTGTCTGCTCTGCAGCACACAAGCGTCTCACACAGCTGCACCTGCAAAGCACACAGTTCTGCTGACCCGCTGGCTGCATCCTGGCACTGATTCCATAAACCTCCTATTCACTCTGCCCGACTATTCTGAATTGCCTCACCAGCCCCAATCGGGGGCTTCCGGAGTCATTCCACTGGCCCTCTCGGGGTCTTCTCTTCCTCTGTGGGAACTAACCTCCAGAGTGCGGCACAACTGGGAGCAGCGGCTCGTTCAGGAAGTCCACCCAGGATGTTGGCCCCAGGTCACTCTCAGTTCTTCTTTCCTTCCTCCTGACCAACCATCCTCAGCAACCAGCTAGCCCACGCAAGGCAACTCCACTGTAGAATCCAAAGTCCCTTGTTGTCAAATACCCAGCACCTGCTGCCCTCAGGGCTGAGGACTAAGTGTCTCTCAGTGCCCCCACCACCCTTTAATATATTCCCTTTGTCCTTCACAAGATGGGAAGCCTTCCACGCTAACTTGTGCTGACTGCCCCATTCAGAAGGATCCTGGCTGAAGCAGCACCTGATGCTTCAAGGCTGAGTGCAACTTCTCTCTGCTTTCTTACAGGTTTGGACAGCCACCCTTGGGAGAGAAGCTTTGGATTGCTTCTGGATAAAAGCAGTACCTTTGGTTCCCTTAAAAAGATGGGATACCCATGGGCTCAGCAGCATGGCCTAGCGGCAAAAGTCCTCACCTTGAACGCGCCAGGGTCCCATACGGGTGCCGGTTATAATCCCAGCAGCTCCACTTCCCATCCAGCTCCCTGCCTGTGGCCTGGGAAAGCAGTCGAGGACAGCCCAATGCTTTGGGACTCTGCACCCGTGTTGCTTTGGGACTCTCCACCTGTGTGGGAGACCTGGAAGAGGTTCCCGGATCCTTGCTTTGGATCGGCACAGCACCGGCTGTTGCACTCACTTGGGGAGTGAATCATTGGACAGAAGATCTTCCTCTCTCTCTGTCCTCCTCTCTGTATATCTGACTTTGTAATAAAAATAAATAAATCTTAAAAAAAAAAAGATGGGATACCCTATGGAAGTGGACATCCAGCAGGATGCCACAGAAATGGTCTGCACTGGTTGCTCCTTAATCAGCCCATTTAGGGGATTGGTTGGATCTTCAGGTCCTGAAAGAGAGGCATCTAGTACCGATTTAGAGTTGTCTGGCCACAATACAAGCTGCTGCAATGGCAGGTCTTCTGGCTCTTGAACAGAACTCTTAGCTGCAATAGCCTTTCAGCTTGATCTGTGCTGTCACAATCTTTTCCAAATATCCAAGGTCCCTTACATTTGTACCTTCATGGCCCTATTCCAAAGCCCAATCTATTAAAACCTACCAAAACAGATAACCTCTCCTGTACCCTCTCTCAACACTGTTCTCTCCTCGCAATGCGCCAACAGCTCCTCTGCCCTCTAAGGACCCACTTTGCCTTTCACAAGCCAGGTCATGAACTATTTATAGTCATCAAGCCCTGGTTCCCCCATCTTACTCCATGGTTGCTCCCATCTTACGCCATGGTGTCTGGCCCTTTTCTAAGCAGAAAATGGGGTAAAGGGATCCTATCAGAGCTCATGCTCTCTTGCCCACACCACAGCTACCCCAAACATGGCTCTTAGAGCCAGGATACTTCACACTTTATTCCAGGAACTCACTGTGGCCTTTGATTGGACTTGGCAAGATTATGGAAATTTTACCACAAGCAGCATACAAGAGGAAGAATTGCATCGGGTGTCTGGCCCAAAGATGGGCTGATGAGGTTCACACCTAGAACCCCTAGGCTCTCAGTCAGGCAGAAAGGCAGTACCAGATGCTGGACCCCCACGGGATTCTCAGGAAACACCAAAATCCCACACTCATGTGTCTTAAACTGAGAGCATAAAGAAAGGCCATCTTAAAACATCCCAACCACACTGTGGGAGGCTGCCCAGGGGGCCAATGAAAATCCTACCCTCTAGTCTGGTGGAGGTCATATGAAAATACACTCATTTCGGACGGCCCAAAGCTTTGGGAACCTGCACCCG